AAACATCTTTGGGGAAAGCCCTATTGAGATCGGTATAGTCAATACACATGCCCCAATTTCCATTAAATTTATTTACAAGAACTACATTAGATAGTCGGGTTGTGTACTCAGCTTCACAAATGAAATTTGCCTCTAGGAGGTCTTTGACAACTTTCTCGGCAACCTTCATTTTCTCGGGGGACTGTTGGCGCCTATGTTAGGCGACTTCCTTAAGGGAAGGATCTATCATCAAATGATGGCAAGCTATCTCTGGATCCAAGTCGGGCATCTCTACTACGCTCCAGGAAAACAAGTTTGCATTTTCCCTAAGGCACACCTTCAGTTGTCTCTTTGCCAAGTCGGGGAAACCATCACCAATTATGACTCCTTTGGATGGATCGTTATCAAGGGGAATGATTTCGAACTCCACATCTGAAATGGGTCGCACGGGATGTGTGTGATCTTTGCTGCTTGTTGACGAGGAGGAGCTTTATGTGTCCAGTAAGGGCTCTTTCCCCTTCCTCTTCTGCTCTCGGAGATTTATGAATCGGGTGTCGAGGTCGATTGTGTCAACGTGTGACATCGGACTTGGTTCTTCAGAACTACTAGGTAGGACAGGTCTGTTGGTTGTTCTGGGCTGCATGTTGATGAAGCTTAAACCCTTAGAAGCTGCTTCAAAACAACTTCTTGCTTCCTGTATATCCCTATGAAGGGTGGCGACGAGTCCCTCCTCGGTGTAGTATTTCATCTTTAGGTGCACAATGGAGGGAACCGCTATCAGTTCGGTCAGGGTAGGCCTCCCGAAAATGCACTGATACAATAATAGGTAGTCCACCACGAGGAACTGCATCTTGATTGACCTGGCTGTTTCTGCCTCCCTGAATGTGATGATCAGCTCGTCGTATCCCCAAGGTTTGGTGACAGAGTTGTTGAATCCCTAGAGGTCAGAGCCTACATAAGGGGTCAAGTGGGTCTCGTTGAGCTATAAAGTAGTGAACATCTAGGAGTACATTATATCAACCGAGCTGCCTTGTTCGACCAAAATGCGCCTGACGTCAAAATTGTCCATTCGTGCTCTTACGAGCAGAGGAATACTAGAATTGAGAGCCCTATCGGGTAGCTCTTCTCAGTAAAATGAGATGGGAACAGAGCTTCCTCTAATCTTATCGAGGGTGGCATTCTTGTTGGAGCTAGCATCCATAAGTTGCTCGAATTGTTTCTTCACTGAGCCCGTGGTAAATTTGTTGAATCCTCTGTCGAATATAACCATTACTGATGGAATTGTCTCCCACAAATTATGGGTTGCGAAGTACAGGGGGGCCTCGTCTAGGTCGGGGAAGTAGAAGTCTTTCGATCGGGTGATGCTCAAGGCAACAAACAATGAGGCTTTTGTCGAATGAGGGCTTTTCCTCTTATAATTTCTTAGACTCATGGGCGTCCTCGAGGGAACCTTCCTTATTTTTATATTTCTTGAGATGCCCATCTCGGATGAGTATCTCGATGTCATTTAAGGTGGATGCAGTCTTCTGTCACGTGTCAGTGACTTTTATGAAATCGATAATACTTGCTTTTGTTCGTCCGTGATTAGATGGTGTTTGTCGGGGAAAGCAAACCCTATCTTGTCGGAACTCCGAGTTTGTGCATTCGGTCAGAATATGCTTGCGCGAAGCGTTGAGGGGGGTATAGTCTTGGAAACAACCAGCAAGCCCCTTGTAGTCTCTTGAATCACAGGATTCGTCCTCCCTTTTCTTTTCTGCTCCCCAACAGAATATCAAGGGTTCGTCATTCTTTGAAACTTTTGCATTCTCATGATGTCGTGAGTCTCGAGCATTGTTAGCAGCCTCTTTCTCCTCGTACTCGACGTACGCTTGTTCCTTGAGTAGGAGGGATCCAACATTGCAGGATTTTTTATGCCAACGACTTTGGAAAAGTCACTACGAGGGCATAAGCCTCGCTCGAGGAGGTATTTCTTCATCCCGTCAGTCGTGGAGATCTGACGGGTTCCTGGTTGAACCTTTCAATATACGCTCAAAGGGACTTATCCTTCCCCTGGATGATTATGGCCTCTAGTGAAGGTTCTGATTTGGGGTGTCAGCGAGATACCATAAAATTCTTGGAAAATTGTCTCCCCAGGTTCTTCTGAGATGTAATGGACTCATCGGGGAGGCTCTTGTACCAATTCATGGCTCCCTTTTTGAGTGTTGTCTGGAAGAGTCAAAATTTGATTTCTCCTCAGCATCCTCTATAGTCGAGCAAGGCATTGATGTTCTCGATGTGCATGTCTGAATTTGCAGTTCCATCGTACGTCCCCCAGTGTGGGTGTTTCTCCAGGCCGATAGGAAGTAAGGTCTTCATCCATGATTTCTCTGGATAACGGGCCACAGGACTCGTCCTTATCTCTACGACCAAGAGATGCTGGAAGAGAGTAGTTATTTCTTCCTCGTATGGGGTTATCGTTCCCACTGAGAGAGATGCTCCTCTGGTGGTGCTTCAACTTGGGTAGTGGTGAACGGTCGTCATCTGGTCGTTGAGTACCCTTCGTCTTCTTGGTGATCAGGAAGCGTCGATCTTTCTGGGGAGGAGTGCGACCTCATTTATTGAGAAATGAAACCTCTTGCTTCTCGTACATGGGACGGCGGCCACGCCTTGATGGTGATGGACTACGGGAGTCATGCTGTCGGTATCTTCAAGGAGGAGATCTTGACTGGAGCTTCTTTTCCCAAGCTTCAATCTTGTTGCTTTGTTGTAGGATTAGGGCATTGGTTTGGTTGAGGGAAATGAGTAGAGCTGCCATGGTCGGGTCGGTGTTGGGAGGAATTGAAATCGGTTGAAAATTGTTGGTGGCTCCTCGATATATTTCTTGGACTTCTGATTCTCCAATAATTGAATGTCATCTTGATCAGCGTCGATCGAGTCAGAAGACACAGTTAGACCGTCTGGGGGGATATCCTCGAGATGAGGTGGTTCTTCGTTTATGTTTGTCTTGAGGACATGGGAAAAAATGATTTTTTCAGAAAGGTGGTTGTCATCATGATCACCCATGATATGAGTCTTTGAATGTCTCTTTGATCTTTAGTTTCAAGGAAATAAAGACGAGGAAGACAAAATTCCCACAGACGACGCCACTGATCTTACATGTTGATCAGAAAGTGGGCCAAAGGGATGACATCTGCTAGGCTAGAATTGATGGAGATGAGGGGGTGTACATGCAATGCACTCTGACGATTAAGTAAGAAAGGATTCAAAGAGATACAAGAATGAGATTAGAATTTTTAGAGTGAATATTGGATACATGATCCTCACAACTTGTGAGGGTTTATATAGTGCCCCCGACACATGGCGATTGGTTCCTATTTTTGGGCCTGAATATCAGGTTCCCAAAAATAGGTAACTGCTAAGAACTAGTTGTTGTGTCGACTAGACGTGCTCGTAACTAACCGTTACAACAGGCAGAGATGTGTCTCACGGGAAGACGTGATTTTCGATCGTTTTTGGGTGACTATCCTCGTGCGATCGGGCAGGATGAGGAATTGCCTGTTTAAGCGGGAAGAAGTAATCGGGGAGACCCTGGTGGCCAGGATTCCTTGGTTGTCGAGCAGAAGGGATAAATTGTCCTTTATCCTTCATGTCTTATGGGTCAAAGTCATTGGATCGTCCCACATGCAGAAATGGATTAGAACATGCCTAGTCATTGGATCAGTCCAGAATAACTATTGTGATATTTTTATTGAGTTTGGGGTGACAAATTAAAACCTCCTAATTCATGTTTCTATTTAGGGGTGTACATGTATCGGTTTGAGTTAAATTTAGCCAAAACCATGATCCAACTCATACATGGTACAACGGTTTGGGTGACGTAAAATAATCACTCGCAATATCATTGGGTCAGTTTGCATAAAACCACAAAATTAATCGGATTAAGTTGGGTAGTAGGTTACCCAAAAAAATTTCCTTTTTTTTCTTCTTTATATAATTATAAATTATGTGTCACATTTTTTCTTGATAAAATAGTTTAACCTATTACTGTTATTTTTTTAAAACATCAAAAACTTTTTTTCCTCATATAATTATAAATTATGTGTTACATTTTTTCTTGATAAATAATTTAACATATTACCGCTATTTTTTAAAACATAAAATACATAAATGCACGATAAAATTCATCATAAACATATTTGAAAAAAATCAAAGTTATATTACGTTAATACCTAAAATTGCATTAAATATTTTCTACTAACAAAAATTATCATCAAAATAATTAAAATTAAGCATCTTAAATAAGTTAAAATCATTACTTACAAAAGAAAATATGTTCAAAAAGTTATAATTAAAGCATTCAAGATTAAAGACATTAAAATCATCACTCATCAAATTATTAAAAAAACAAAAAAAAAAATAGTCATTCAATAACTCGTTTTTTGGATCGGTTTGGGTGGATTTTACTGAGTTTATTAGCAGGGCCGTCTTAAATTTTCGGAGGCCTTGTATAAGTTTATTATGGTTTAAATATGGAAAAACAAATCGAGACCCTATTTTGTCATGATTTAACCATGTAAAATATTTTATGAAACCTTTTTAATTACTCTTTAACCATGACAAATTTTGAATCCTATCCAGTAACCCTCGTTGCATGCCCTTAAAAACTATCCGGTTTATTAGGTTTCCCCAACATCCATTAACCATTCCAAAATATTAAAAATTCTAATCGACAAATCATCTTATATATAAGCAATGGTTCCTACTATACCAGAGACACAAAAATGCCACAAGCAAGGAATTCTTGGTACATGTCTCTCTCAGTCTGTGTTTGTCATAGATCTAAATATTTCAAGAATCTTTGATAGATATGTCGTATATTTTAAAATTAAAAGCATGCACATATGTTTATTTAACTTCCGCCCTAGTAGGATTGTAATAACAAGATTTGCATTCAGTATGCATTATGTTTAGGTTAATATTAGCATTAATCCCAACATCTATATAATGAACTTTGCTCACAGGCTCCAGTCAATGAATAAAATTTAATAAAAATAAGTTATTAGTAAGGTCAAAGCATTGTACAAAGAATGAATAACAATAGAAGAGTTCAAATTTTCAGTCCAGGAATAGGAGCATCCAAGGACACATCCAATGATGAACAACTGTACAAAGTTTTCACCGGAAAAGTGAATTGCACTGAATATAACAGAGCTTATGGCTACAGCTTGTTGCCACTTCATGGTTGAGGAAAGTGATTTCAGCAAAAATCCTCTATAAACAACTTCTTCCAAAAGAGGAGTGACAATGCAGTAAGCAACAACACAACACACTCTTGAGATATCACTATTCAGGAGGATCTCCTTCAGGGAGGGGTTGCTGACAGACTGCAAAGATACAACACAAAACATCATTCCATAACTTTAAATTCATCTCAATCTCATTTTTACAATAATTTCACAGAATAATGAGGTTTTCTAGTATATTTTAAGTTATGAACAAAATTTAAGGACAATAAATTTGCTTTGAACTAGCATAGTATCCAGGGATGACACTCATATATCACACACATACCCCCATCGCCAAGTAGGTAAATTAATTGTGGTAAGAGTCTGATTTTTCATTTATATAATAAAGTTAAAAAAATTTCAGAGACGTACCTAAAATAGTCATTAGTTTCAAGTTTATTATAACCCAAATCATTCTTCTTTCACCTCATAGTCTAGTATAGAACTGCTTAACAAAGTTTATGTGGGGTATTTTTCATGATAGGGTAGAACCTTACAGGTGTTTAAAACTCTGACCGGTCATCAACCCAGTTAAGTTATTAGGTCAACGGATTAATGTTCAGACCAATGGATAACCGATGGGACTGCATGAATTATAATGATGTGAAAATATAGTTTTATTTTTTTATAATTTGATTTATTTTAACTTTTGTTAGTTTAAAGTATTCTTATATCGTATAATTAATAATAAATAAGTTTAATGAGAACTGTAATATTGTAATTATATAATATATCACTTTCTTTTCTTTAAATAAATTAAAGCAATTGGTAAAACTAGAATCCTAATAATTTTGAAAAGTTACTGATTCTTAAAATTTGACAAAATTTTTATTTTTACAATTTTAATGTTATTTAATTATTATAAATAATTTACATAATTTTAAATATTAATAAAATTGGATTTTAAAATAGATATTCCAAAACTTAAGAAAATGAAAATAGGAATCAAAATTATAATTAAACTAAAAAAATAAACATAAACAAATCAATCCGTCCATCAGTTCACTTATATGACCAGTGAATCGGTCGGATCACGTCGGTTTTTATCGGGCAATTGCAACAATGGTCCGATGACCTTACCGGACCACTCTATTCTCCGGTTCACGGTTTAACCAGTCCGACCGACCAAAACCGTCCGAATTTTAAAACTATGGGTGTACTGATCATAACATTATATGCTAATGCTTGTCCGGAAAGATGTCTAATAAGAAAAATGACAATCATAGCAGTTTATGTAGCCTATGAAGTCCGGAAACCTATAAGATTATGTGTGTTTTGGTGTCTAACATTGGTAAGACACTCATATAAAAAGTGTCGGAAAACTCAAATAGGTATCTAAAAAAATGTTTTTTCTTGGATCAATGTTCCACAACTGTATTGACACTCATACGATATGTGTACTCATACCATATGTGTTAGATAATTCAGATAAGTGTTTGAGACAAATTTGTTTTCTCTTTGCTACAACAAACTTTATACATTCTTTGAACACATTTCACACACATTTACATAGGTTAAAGATATGTTAAAGAAATAGAATGATGAAGCAGCTTGTAATGTCTAGCAGTTAGAGATCCTGGTCTCTTCAGCTAAATCAGAAACCAAACTCTTTCACTTCTCTTCCTCTCTATTTCATAACTACACAAGTTACATAAACAAACATTATATAACTGTTGTCTTAGGTCCAATTAAGTTAACAGGCTTCCTCCTAGAATAAGACATCATAGTTTGAGGCCTATTTACTACCAAAATTCCTCCTCAAAAGTTTTACTTTGTCTTCAAGGTGAAAATTTAAAAACTTCTCTTGAATAACGTCTGCAAGTGCCCGTCTGGCTTCAAAGGCTGGAAGTCTTCCATTGAATTAACATTTTAATGCCAGAGGAGGCAGTGTTATGGGATGAAATTGAGGAAGGAATAGGTCTTTGAGAAGTTGAGTTGAGGGCATCTCTTCCATGGAGGAATTTAAAAGGGGTGCTTTTAGTTGAGCTATTATAATTTGTATTGAACAAAAATTCTAGAACCAACCAAGTATCTTGAATAAGTTTAAAAGCAACAACAGTTCACAACTTTAGTTTCACCATCAGATTGCGGGTTGAAATCATTCAACTCGTAAATGACTATGAAATTATAGATGAAAACCTATGTAATTTGACCATTTCTTTAATGAGATTTTCTGCAATGTCTTTAGCTTTAGAAGGGAAACTGAGAGGGATAAACTGAACATAATTCATAATTAGTAAGAGGTTGGCAGCTAGCCTTTTGTAAGTTCTAAAAAAAACCTGAAATGGAAAGAGAATCTTAGATGTGAAGGGAAATCTCAGATCAGATCTGGCATAATAACATTCATTTTGCTGTTTGATTGAACTCCTTTTTCCCACTCATCTAAGTATATAGACATGGATGCATAAGTCATATGCCTGGATAAAACATCATTTTCCTTATTGTCATTTCCTGGTTTATACCAAATTCAAAGTCCATTCTCATCAATTTAGATATTCATTTGAATTAATCTTCACCCCTGACTCTTTTATCTGTCAAAAACCGCAAACTCTTTTGATCGCCGAGGGTAATAAGATAGCTCCAAAATAAATAGTTCCTTTTGTAACCATAACAATGGTTATAATAATGTGTGGCTAAGAAAAGCAACTAAATGGCCTTGTTGCAACAAAACTGCTCACAATCATGTATAGAAGGCATTTGCCATAGGCCATGATTCTAGTGGATGGTTATTAGGTAGTATTTTTCCTTTCACTGTCAAAAGAGTTGAAACATTCCAGATTAAACCTATTCGATGTTCAGCTTATTTGTCTCGTTGAAACTGTTTTCTTTCTTTCTGGTTGAACTAACTACAAGTTAAAGGGTGCTACGTACCGTTCTACCAAGGAAGTTCTAAACTCTAGCAATAAGTCTAAGCAGTTATCATCACAATTCACAAATTCTTTACCCCGTTGGTGCTACGTACCGTTCTACTAAGGAAGTTCTAAACTCTAGCAATAAGACTAAGCGATTGTCATCACAATTCACAAATTCTTTACCCTGTTGGTTTGTGGCCTAGGGTCAAAAGATGTTCTACCTAACAATTCTACTGTGTGCTAACAGCTAGATCTTCACCATATTTACAAATCCTTGGTGTACAATATCCCACTTCTAAAACACCTGGCAGCACCACCTCAATAAGTGATAATTGGAGGAGAATTACAACATATATCATCTTTGCTTCTTTTTTGATAAAGATGAAATGGAATTGCAGAAAAGATATATATGTATAATGACGAACCTTAAAGTCAAATAATCTGTCACCAAGTAGCGATGTTAAACAAATGAGAAGAACAAGAAACCCAAATCCAAGAGCTGATGAAAAAAACCAGTTCCTGGCGTTATTTTTGAAGAAATTTGAAAATTTATATTGTGGCTTAGCTGTGTACTTGAATAAAACCAGAGCTGCATTAAACTCAAGAACTTGGATGGTAACAAGTGATATGGCCTGCATCAATGAACGAAAATATCTTATCAAAATTAAAAAAACAGCATGAAAAAGGCTCCATTGCACACCTACCTGAGTTTGTGGGTGAAGAAGAGGCTGTTGTCCTGTGAGCAATGAAACAACGGATAAGCCTCCAAAACTGAGAGGAATATGAAGAGTGAAAAGATAGAGAGCAAGATTGGCCCATACATCCCCACTATCCCATGGACTATCTGATAAAAACTGTGTGTCTTGCTCTTTCTTTTTGCAATAGCATCTCTTCAAACTGTTGCGTTGGAAGGACAGTTGTGGTGAACAATTTGTGTTTCTTTGGTTGTAAAAGGGTTTCGCCGCCAACCTATCAAGTTGAGGGGCAAATTTAACATAAGCAGGAAACCACCCCGTAACCGACATCATCTTTATTCTTGCATTCTGTATTGAATTTTATGGTTTCTCTCTAGTTCTGTCCCAAAAAATAATAAAGAATGTCATTAGAGGATCTCCGATGATGTTATTTATCTTTAACATTTTTGTGATATCCATTCAACCAATTTATCTAATTTTATCACTATAACTCTATTGAATTACAATATCTCGACTACTCTTTTCATCCCTTAGAATGTTCTCCTATTTTGTTTGAATATGCATTTTTAAACACATCTAAACCATATAAGTTTTTCGTAATTCAATCACTTAATTCATTTTTATCAAAAACAAATTTGCAATCTTATGTAGGTGTATCAAGAAATACCTCTTTGTGACACTTCCTATGCTCTCTAAGTAATAATCTTGTCATAAATTTTATATTTTTAGGACAACATATTTTAAGTTATTTTAGGCCATAAATTAGAAGGAAAACTGATCTTACCGAATTAGAAATGGACCGTCACGGCTAATTCGGACAGAAGTTAAATGAAATGGGAATATCTGGAAGACACTCCGATGGCAAAGTAAGTTGCGGAATGAGCAAGCAAATATGAGTTCAGAGAAAGATGTTCAATACCTGACCGGTATTTATAGCCTCTAGCGCTGGACCAAGGTCTCTTTATTAGGCTGATCAAACAGGCCCAACATAGAGACTGTCAGGTTCTACGTGAGTAGTGGGGACCTGCAAGTGGCCCCTTACCTGAATGACGTCCTCCGCAAGACCAGGAGGATATGGACGCGATCTTTCCGGAACCACGAAGACTCCGTAATATCCCGAGAGGTTGGAAGTCAGCCCTACGAGGAAGGTGCTCGGGAGGAGCGCCTGCTCGTCAGGGATGGTCCCCACGAGCACCGACGAGAAGTAGTCTTGGTCGACAAGACCTCTGTGGTCGGGGTGTATTCGGGGAAATACCGGTCAGTGCAGCAGGTTGGCACGCTTGGATTGGGCCTCACTAGAAGTTGGGTCAAGGGCAGGCCCAGTCCAGAACAAAAACGTATATTAATTGATTCAAATATACTACACAATTATGAAAAAAGTCATGCAATTATCAAAATGCACCGACCATATATAACTTCTTCCGAAAATAAATAAAAAAATACAATCAAACATAAACAACTAGATTTGTCTAACCCTTCGTTTTCTCGTACACCTGTAGTGCAAGACATTTTGTGTCTCGTCAATCATGTCTTCTACAAGGGAAAATTAAGGACCGTCTCCACGTCCTATGTGTGGTCATCCCTAGCCTCCAGTGCCTCATGATTAAATGGCCTAGTTGGTCATCAAGCGTCTAATGTTATGATAGAGTGTGGCACCCTATAGAACCATGTCATGTAGTTTTCAACATAAGTCCGTTGTACAAGAGCTAACACCCTGCGACACTTCTTTGGTATCAAGTGACTCTCGAAATCCTTAAGTATCGCATCAAGATCTATGTGGCAGATGATGGAGGAGCAGAATCTGAGGGGGTGTCTTAGAATAATCTACAAATATCCAAACTGGTGAGTCGCTCGCTCAGACTGATAAGGATACATCAGACTTAACCCACATGTCAGACAAATGTGTTTGGCGGTGACCGTTTTATGGGAAAAAGGCAATGCTATCTGCTACATGATGGTCAATATACACCTAAAATGGCTCGATCGCTTAATTTTCCTCTGTACGGGGCAAAGGTAGCAGCACATGGCAAATTTTGAGTGTAGTTAAGCACAACTTTCCACCCGGTGATCATCTCACCTATATGAAGGTTGAAATATGGTGTCTCTGAATGCCATCTCTCTTCAAATGTCATATGCATACCATGGTTTATGGTCATGTACACAACAACAGGTAAACTAATAAGCCTAGAGTAGCGGATAACATTCTAGAACTAGTCATCTCGAGGCTATGCCAAATCCAATATCTTCTTGTTATGGTTTACCGATTTTAAACATGAAAGCTCTTGTAAAAGAATATCACCACCAGTCTCGATTTAATTAGTTTAAAATATATGTAATGTAAAAGAAAATAAATATACCTCTCATTCCCAAACATAGAAGCATGGCCTGCATAGAGATGAAGTAAGGAGGTGTCAAATGGCCCTCATGGATAACTCTCTACAGGGGCATTAGCAACAGGTTCCTCTTAGGCTTCAGGGCTTCAGGTGCTTCATCATCTAGGAACACGTGGCCTCGTGAAGTAGAGGTCTAAGATAGACGAATACGAGAAGTCGAACCAAATGCTTACAAAACTCGATTTTATGAACCACCAAACGAGTTATCATCAACTTGTAGTCTTGTGGTCCTGGTTGTGGCCTTCTCATGTCGTACAAAAGTGGTTTAGGACACACGACCGAGCCTCGTTATGTTAGGGTTGATTCCAGCCATTGCAACTGGGTTTAAACCAAAAAGTAACATAAAAAATTCAACCAAAATTCATCCAGGTACAAATCTAGAGATACATCTCCGAAAATAGTTCAGACAAATCTGGGGATGCATCTCCAGATGAAGTCGCGAATATCAACCATGGTAAAAACCCTATTTCTACTCTAACATCCAACTAAATGAAAATGCAAGTCCATATCAGCTACCTATTTTGATTGCATTACCTATTACAGCTTAAATAAACAATGTTACCTAAAACATCATTAAAAAACACAAAAAAAAAAAATTAAATGAAACACTTACCAAATTAATGAGAAGTTTGAATGAAGTGAGTTACTCTGCAACAAATGAAGTAGAATAGAGAGCGTGAACTTGAATAAACTTAATCAAATGATGTTTGGAAATGGTTTTTTTAGTTTGTAAAAAATGAAAGAAGGAAGAGGGAAGGGTCTGGCGCAGGTATATGAAATAAAAGTGTCTGAAGATGCATCTCTAGACTACTCCCTGAATTTTAAATTGAGGGCTTGTATGGCGATGCATCTCAAGATAAAACACACATGCATACAAAGATGCATCTCCGACTTAAATTTGGCATAATAAAGGTGTCTCATCAATCAGTGTTGAGGAGTGTGAAAAAAGGCGCCTCTAGAGACATATCTTCGAATGTTAAGGGCAATTATGACTTTTCACGGTTACGGAGGACCATTTTTACTTGAAAGCATGTGATGTCACATGCAAGTATACATGTATGTTTTAAAGTAGCAAGTTATAAAAAGTATGGATATCGTTGAAGGTGTGAGAAACACAAGAAAGGGAGTTTGAATTGGGTTTCACCAAAAATAATTTTGAATCTTTTGTGTTGGTGAAAGACCAAGTTAACCTAGAACATAAAAATAAATGAACACAATTATTTTTATCCTGATTCACTATTAACCAAGCTACTTTAGTCCACCCCTCAAGGTGATTTCGCCTTTAACAAAGAATTAATCCACTATAACTAAACTAATTACAAATAACATACAATAAGTCAGATCAACCTTATTGGCACTCGCAATAAGTGAGTCAATCCTTATTGCAAATCCACTTAAGCTGCGGTAGGAGTCTTCTTGAGATCAGACCTTCACTCGGTTTCTCAAGGAATCAATCAACAATAATTGAGTACTTTCAGTGTATTACACATTGCTTCTTTTAAGAAGATTACACATATGTTTCAGTACAAAGAAAAACACCTAAGTGTTTTACAGTAAGATACGAGCAACAACTCCTTGCCTATTTACAAAACTATACACATAAGATTTTTTCTAAAGAGTTTCATAGAGCTTTGGGGTAGTTTTGCTTGAGATGTATTTAATCTGATATATTTTGTGTAACGTTGATTCTTACTTTTCTTCGGCTTCCAAGTTTTCCTTTTATAGCTTGTAAAAGAGATCTATTGAAAGGGTAGAAAGGTAATTGAAAATCCAACAGTTTGTTCTCAACGGTCATAATGAGAGTGGTTATAGTATAGTACAAAAAGAATTGTCCTTACGCCACCCTAGAGGGTAGAGGTTACATACTACTTTATGTACCTTTTGTACACCATCACACGTTAACCATTTTGAACTTCTTCTTATCTTCAGAGGTTTTAGATATTTGAATGTTGAATGTTGAATGTTGAATGTTGAATGTTGAATGTTGAATATTGAATCTTGTTGTAGAATATTCACTCTTAAGTATTAGAACCTAAGTATTGGAGTCTTCAAAACTTGTCTTATCAGAACCTTGTCTTCAGAGTCTTCAGCACTTGGTTGTAATAACTTGCTTTTCTTGAGATCATTAGAACTTGTTCAATAGAACCTCATCTTCATAATCTTCAGAACTTGTAACACACAGAAGCAAAGCTTTAGAAGGCCTCCAAAGCTTAACCACGAAGTAATGATCAAAACCTCTTGTACTAACTTTTATTAGAATGTTGCAGAAGATGAATTCATAATCTTGACTTCAACTGTAACACGTAACCGCATGTTTTCTTTCATTAGTGTATGTTCAAAACCTAATGACATCACACGCCTTGATACCAGAGTCAGAACATTTATAGCAGCAGCTACACACTAGAACGAAACCATTAGTGTATACAATTGTTCTCTAAGATAACATGTAAAATTATCATCAAAATCTTAAGGCCAGATGTAGAAACACTTCTTGTTCTTACAACCTCCCCCTTTTTTATGATGACAAAACCATGTATTTTGATGGAACAATTTATACAGGGTAATCACCGTAATCGACAAATTCAGAGTTAAGCTCACAGCTCCCCCTGAATCTGTTAATCCTAAAATTTCATTTAATCTTGTTTAGAGTCTCCCCTTGAGCCCAAGACTCACAAAATAATTTTGAGTATTCAGAATATTGATATAGAAGTGACACTTTCCTGCAACAACTCATCAGAGTCTGACTAGAGCACCTGGTCTTCATCTCAGAACCTAGTTACTATCAACACTTGATGAAGGATTAAAACTTGATTTTGAGCCTGATTAAATAATTCCACGCATCATGTATCAACACTTTTGTTCCTTGATTCTGATATCATAACCAAAACATTATACTTTTGGAGAAGTTCACTACTTCTTAAGTATCAACATTTGACC